CCGGGGAGTTACCCTCCTTGACAATTAGCAGCACAGTTGCTAAGACTGTTGGCAGAGAGGGTCTAGGTGACCCTTGTCTTCGGGGTGCTCAGTTTGTGTGAAACAAGTGGATTTTGTGGACCTAGGGGTGGAAGAAGGTGAATGATTTTGTTGGGTTTCATCTTGTACTTTTTTGCCCTAATGTCATGTTCCCAGGACTGGATTGAAGCCAGGGTAGTAAATGTTTGGGTGCAGACACAGTTGAAGAATTTTAGAGACAGCACAAGTGTTTGGTGAGTGCAGACTGTGGTAGGGTGAGACCCCAGGTGTGCAGCTTTTGTAGGGCTGGGCCTCAGAAGAGACGATGGGGCCCTCAGGGGGCCTCCTTGGAGAGCCCATGCTTCCCATCAGGTGCCCATGGCTCCAGAGACCCATCCCTGCTCTGGGTCTGCAACGTGAGTGAACCGGAGCTCCCCAGACAGCGGCAGGGTCTGGCCAGAGCTCCTCCCCTCAAGTTAAAAGGGAGCCGACCTCACTTGCCTGAGCTCAAGAGGATGAAATGGCAACAAAGGACTTCTGTTGCCCAAAGTGCAGTGACTTGATTTCATTGTAAATCACCATGGCTGCCTTCTCATCAAATGTGATCTCCCTCAGATTGGGAAATCATTTTGTTTGGGTGAGTCACAGAGTCGGGATGGTGAGAAAGAGAGGGAGAGGGATGGAGGGAGGGGGGGTGGGGGGGGGGGGGAGAGAGAGAGAGAGAGAGAGAGAGAGAGTGTGTGTGTGTGTGTGTGTGTGTGTGTGTGTGTGTGTAAGTGGAGTACCCAGGTGCAGGGTCAAAGCCAAACCGTAATGATTTATCAAGGGAGTGAAAGAGTCTCTTATGAGTTGGTAATTGTGTACTTAAGGGTTACTTGATACTGTTTTAAATGTATGGGTTGGAAATAAAAACAGTAAAAGCTCTCTCAACTCAGTGCAGGGTGGATGGCAAAACAGTCCAAATGATGTATCAGAGAAAAGCGATTACAGTTTATTTTAGAGATATGCTCCAGGTTCTGATGGTGCTAAGTGGTCTCTGCTTGGTTTCGACTCCTTTGTGAATTTCACACTTAATTGTATTGAGGGGCTGCTGCTGTGTGGGCTCCTCAGATCAGTTCGTTCTCCTTCAATGTTAAGCCGTCCCTGCTCATTCAGTCCATAAATATTTATCGAACACCCAGTATGTGTCAGACGCTGTTCTAGGTGATTGAAATAAAATCGAGCTTCAGCAGACAGACACCCCTTTCCTTGTGCCATTTACAGGTGAGAAAGTCCATAGGCGTAGTAGCTGTGTTGTGTAGAGTGTACGGAGGGGCCAGGGCTGTGGAAGAGAAGGGGCAGGGATGAGCAGGGTGGGCCTCTGCGGAGGATGGTGATTTGAGGGGACACAGAGGGGTCAGCCATCTGGGGGGAGGGAGAGGCAAAGGGAGCAGTTTGCACAAATGCCCTAGCAACTACCATTAGAACAGGCTGTCTTAGGACGTTTCTTAGAAATTGTGTAAAGCTGCATATGGACTGGGCATTTGATATTTAGTAATTATTGTATGGTAGTTATGTTGTCAAAGATCATTTTCAATTTGGAATGCAGATTGAAGAACTGATTGTTAAAATGATAAAGTATCTGGGATTTTGTTTAAAACAAAAAGATCCCAAGGTAGGAAGGTGCCTGGTGTGTGGGAGGCGTGGCCAGGAGGCCAGCACGGCTGGAGCAGGGTAAGCAGGCCAGTGGCCAGTGGGCCTCCAGGGCCAGGAGAGGATGGGGCTTCACTCGGAGTGGATGCAGGGCCTTCGGAGGGTTTCGAGCTGAGAGTGGAAGCAGGGGGTCCAGTTTGCAGGCCTCCATCCTAGCAGGGAGGACAGTGTGGCCAGTGGAGGTGTGAGAAGTGATGGATCCCAGATGTGTTTGATGGCAGAACCAACAGGATTTCCTGATGAACTAGATATTGGGTAGTCCAATCAAGAGGGCAATTCCAGAATAAAATCTGAGCAGCTGGAAGATTGGATTTGCCATGAGCTGAGATGGGGAAAGCCATGGTCGAGTGTGCAAGTCTGAGATGACTTTAAAACTTCTTGCATATTGCACTCTACCCCATAATGCATGTGTATGTTGTGATAACAGGTTAAGATGACCTTCCTCCTTGCAGGGTTAACCCTCTAGGAAAATGTTGTCCTGTGTGTCATGTGGTCTCATGGAGTAGGATACTTGGATCTTTGTTGAAAATCAGTTGTCCACATATGCATGGGTGTATTTTGTTTGTGTGTCTACTTGTCTTTTTGTGTGTGTGTCAGGAAGATCAGCCCTGAGCTAACATCCATGCCAATCCTCCTCGTTTTTTTTTTTTTTTTGGTGAGGAAGATCAGCCCTGAGCTAACATCCATGC